TGGTGGAAGGATGTAATCAAGAAGGACCTAACGTAAGTGAAATCACGGCCACTGCAGGAGATGCCCTAGACAGAGCGAAGTGGCGACGACTGACAAAGACAGCGGACCCTGCGACTGCGCGGGACTAACGCTAAGGAGAAGAAGAAGAGAGACCAAGTGATAAAAATATCGCTGACAGTTGCGCTTTCCCTCCCATAGACGGTTGCTCCATCGATGCTACTTGGACATCCTTCCAAAGTTCTGTCACAGCTGCTGCCAAGGCTGTGCTGGGAGCTACAACAGGCGGTAGTAGGCTAGGTGAGTTGGGAGCGCATGGGAGAAAAATTGACCGTTTCAGCGCGCGTATACCCCTCCCCCCCCTAGAAAATGAAGCAGTGGGATTATAGGTAGAAGTGGGGTAAATTGGTTGAAATTTAGGGAATTTTGGTAAATTTTTACTGTTTCAGAGTGACTATATACCCCCCCCCGCTCGACGGCATTTTTGGAGGAAAAAGTGGGCGGAGTTTGGTGGGTTGAGTGGTACCAGAATTAAATACTATAGAGAGGAATATGGTGGTCGAGGTGTCGAAAAGGGGGTCGTACCAAATCCACCTTGGGGGAGGGGGGTCGTAAAAAATTTTTGAAAAAGTAACAACGATAGGACTGACCCTGTCTCCAACGTCGAGTTCGCTCATCCGCCAATTCCCGAAAACCTAATGAATGCTGGTCCAGTTACTTGCATCACTACAGAAGAGGTCACCAAGGCAATCGACAGCATGAAAAATCGGAGGGCGCCGGGACGACGATTCCAGCAGAATTCTGGAAAATGAAAGAACAGCGAAAAATTGGAATTCCATGGCTTACGCAATTTTTCAATGCAATCGTCAACTCTGGCCGCGCTCCAAATGAATGGGCTACGAGCATCACTATACCAATCTTTAAAAATAAAGGAGATCCCAGCAGGAATGTTCAAATTACCGCCCGATTCGCTTGTTGTCGCATACCATGAAGATTTTTGAGCAGGATCCTCGATCAACGTTTCGCAACATCGTCGAGCTAAGCATCAATCAATGTGGATTCGACGACTGCAGTGGTACGGCCACGATGCAAGCTGCACCTAATACTGTCGCTGCCACTGTATATCGCTTTGAAGTCGACGGCAAACGACCTCGTGGAAGACCAAAGCAGCGATGGCAGGACACGATCAACGAGGATATGAAAACTGCACAACTGCGCCGCGAAGATGCCCTGGAATCGAACAAAATGGCGCACTTCGATCCGAACAACGGACCCTGCATCCAGCGGGACAACGTTAAGAAGAAGAAGACGAACCTTAACAGGATTGGCAGAATATTGGATAAGATGCCCGTCAGACTTGACGATTGTGAGAGCGCGGGCAAGGATAGACGATCGCGGTCGCCCATCGCTTGTGATAGCGACCAAAATGAGGTTTCCATTTGAAAGAACACTTCACAGGGTCCACCTCCACAACATCATTTTCTAGGAAGATAGAAATCCCATTCGTCGCTGAGGACAAAGTTTTACCTCTCGCCTTCGGTCCATGTTAGCCGTTAGTGTGCGGAAGCCAGTTGGGCCATCCTGCTCTTGAAGCCCAACAATGGCTTCTTGTTGGGACATCATCCGTAATATTCACCAGGTCGCGGCCGATGTTGTGCTGCACTTGGACTTTCATATGATTAGGAAAAAACAGAAAATGTTGCCAAGGAGATAAAAGTGCCATGGAGAAGCACAAGTATTAGCTGAAGCAGCACTGGAAGGAGCTTGCACAATGCCCGCCAAAGCTTTGCCAGCTACAAGAACACCGAGACGACCTGTCTCCGACATCCATCCGTTACTGCATCCCGAAGGGCAACGGAAAAAGTCATCCACGACTTTTACTCAGATCTCTTGGATATCCAAGTCATCTGCCTGCCTATCATCTACCACAAGATGAATGAGTCGCTCCCTCAGTTCTCTTTTCCGAAGTCTGACATGCCATGAAGTCGGTGAAGAATCTTACAGCACCTTTCTCGATAGGATTAAACAGGAACATCTGAAGAATGCACCGCGTTAATCGAAACCCTGCTTCGTCTACTCAAGCGTTACCTGTTCGGAATGCGAGGTTCCACTCAGTGTGGAAATTAGCATGACTGTGCCTTATTCCTTAACAGGCAACAATGCACTCGCACTCGCACTCGCAGAAGTTGAAGCCAATACAACTTGCCACATTTAACGTTGGAACTCTCACAGGACGGAGCCGCGAGTTGGCCGAATCGTTGTAAAAGGCGCAAGGTGGCCATTGCATGCATCCAAGAGACACGATGGAGAGGGTAAAAATCGTGCAATATTGGAGATGGATACAAGCTCAGCTTCTACGGCACATCCAACAACAACGGAGTGGCCATTGCCGTCGATGACGAGCTGTGCAGTCACATCGCGGAAGTACAGCGCCACTCAGGAAGGCTCATCTCTGCTATCATTGATTGTGAAACTTGCAGTGTACACGTGTTTTCTGCCTATGCTCCACAATTTGGCTGCGAAGAGAGGAGAAAGAACGATTCTGGACAGATCTGCAAGACAATGGTAGCAGTCTGGAGTTTCTCTTGTTATGCGGCGATCTCAGTGGCCACGTAGGCGCGAAGCGGAACGGGTACAGCTGCTATGCGAGAACTATGAGATAGGGCAGATAAAAGACGGATAGAGGATTTTGGATTCGCTGAGGCAAACGACCTTGTCATCACCAACACTTTCTTCAAGAAAAAAGAAAAGACTTGTGAAAGAAAAGACTTAGTGAAAGTCACCTAGTCACCTATGATAGTGTAGATCGAAAAAGTCAAACTCAATACGTGATGGTGAGGAAACGAGATATGCCAGCTATAAGCAAAGCGGAGGTTGTTCCATCTGAGTGTGCAGCACCTCAACATAAGCTGGTCGTGCTTGATAAGAAGATGAGGAAACCCTAGCAAGGTTATGGCGGCTTCATGGTATCAGGAAAAATCAAATGGTAGAGACCACGTGATAAAAAGGCAGGGATAGCCGAGTGGTTAAGAGGTTAGACTCATGTCTGCACCTCCGAAAAACCGCGAGTTCGATCCCTGCCGAGGCTGTAAATCCATGCCTTGCAAAAATTGCAAAAATGCTTCTAGTACCAGAGATCATCCCTGAGATCGGAAAAAGACATCAAGGTACTCCCTGGCGAGGAATTGGCTCCGCAGCACAGGCCCCTCCTGGCAGACATTGCCATGGACCTCCCGAAGAAGACAAGGGTTAGAACCGAGCGGAGAATCCGGTGGTGGAAGTTGCACCAAGCGGAGAAAGATGACCTCAAACGAAGGATAATGGAAGTTGGTCTACCAAATCCTAACGGGCCAATACAGCGAACATGGAGCAAGACGGCTGAGACCATCCTGCGATGTGCCAAGGAGGTACTGGGCGAGACCCGAGGTGGAATCAGAGGAGACAAGGCAGCGTGGTTCTGGAACGAGGAAGTCCAGCGAGTCGTGAAGCAGAAGAAGGAAGCATACAAGCGCTGGCAGAAGACCCGAGAGCCTCGCTAACCTACAGGAGTTGCAAGAGCTCGCTA